TAACAAAAGTGTAACTCGAGAAGCTAGTTTCACATTCATTTCAACAAGTAAAAATACATACGCTAAGAAAAAAAGAGCGGGAAATTTAGAATTAACAGAAGGCTCAGAAACCTCAGAGTTGCCTGGGAGGAGGTCACTTCCCCCCAACCCCGTCCTCCAAATTAGCCTGACGCTTTTTCCTCAATGAAATGCTTATGCAAACACAGCATACCTAGTTCAGGGGCTCAGGACTAAGAAGGTGTGTGCCAAGGACAGTGTGTGCCAGGCCTCCTCATGGTATCCCAGGCCTCTCCCACCCCTCACCTCTCCGCCCCGACCCTTCACCCCAACCACAGACGCCCTAAAGTTCGCCTCCCCACATGTGCGATGTCCCGCCGCACTCACCGTTCCCTGCATCTCCAGCCCCCGCGGCCACCGGGGACGACGTGAGGCGCTGCCGCTGCGCCCCCGCACCCACCCCGGACAGTGTCTCCTGCGCGTCCCGAACGCAGCTTCTCTGGCCCACCCTGGCCTCGCGGGCGCCCCCGACCACACTCACGCTGTCCACGCTTTCACGACACACGCTGCTCTTAAACACGCGCTGTCCCCGACGCACTCACACGCACGTCACAGCTCGTGCTGTCAAAATCGCCCGCTCACCCAGGCCCGCGTGTCACTCGGTCACACGCCCGCCCCGGCCGCCCCGCCGCGCTCACCTCGTCGCTGCACCGTGAAGCTGTCGACAACCCCGTAGTTGTGTCTGCAGAACCTGTTCACCTCGGCCCGCCTCTGCTCCAGGATGTCCTTCTGCCCGTTCCAGTGCTGGGCGCTCGGCCGCCCCAGCTCGGTCACCGCGCGGTACTCCCCCACGTCGCTGTCGAAGCGCACGTACTCCTCACGGTTATAGATGTATCTCTCTAGTAATCGCACCCGCTCCGTGCCGTTGGAGAAATGGCACTCAGGCTTATACTCGTACAAGAAACGTGCTGCAGAGACACGAACGATCCGGTCACACGCGCGGCCTACCGGGAAGAGC